CAGAATATTGAAATATTTCTTTTTGGGGAGAATAGTACAATAGAAAAACAGATACTGACTTTTGAGGGTCCTCTAAGGAAAAGGCAGGGTTTCTACCCAATCCTTGGACTGTGAAGCCCAGTGATTGAATCATCTTACTCATGCACAGTGAGCATCCAATCAACTGTTTGTTGTTTCACTTTATTGTTTTTTATTTATTTATTTATTTATTTATTTATTTTTGTCTTTTTCCGTGTCCGGCAATGGATCTCAACCCTCAGTGTTGCCCCCGTACCGGACCGGGGACCGGCAATGGGATTGCAACCCTCGGTGTTGCTCCCACACCTCGCTCAGCCAGTGAGCAGGAACCGGTCTGTATGTGGGATCCGAACCCTCGGGCGGGAGCGCCGCCATGCTTCCCAAGCGGCACACTATCCAGTGCGCCACCGAGCCGGCCCTTTGTTGTTGTTTTAAAATAGTTTTATTGAGATATAACTGTATGCCATAAAATTCACCCATTTAAAGTGCATGATTCAATGATTTTTTGGTATCCACACAGTTGTACAACCATCACCACAATCTAATTTTAGAACCAGTTTCATTTTATCATACCAAAATGAAACTATGACTATTAGCAGTCATCACCTAGTCCCACCCTTCTCTTCCACAGCACAGTTTAGGCAACCACTAATATATTTTCTGCCTCTGTAGATTTTCGTAAGTCTGGACATTTCATATCGGTGTTGTAATTAGAATGAGAAATGAAGAGTCACCAGGCATTTGAGGTGTTACTCAAAATCCAGAAATGAAAACAACAAGAAGGGAATTCGGTGGAAACAAATGCAATATAAAGACCAGAAGATAACTTTTAAAAACTTACATTTTTTATATCCATAGAACATGAACAGGAGGCAATGAAAGGGAATATTCGGAGAAAAGCTCTTTGGAAATAAAATACTATGGAAAAAAATTCAGCAGAAGTAGAGACAAATTTTAAAAGGCCCCTTAGTCAAACAAAAAGGCAAAGTTATGGAAAATGACTTAAAAGGTAAGAAAAGCAGAGATTAGTTCAAGGTAATAATAGCATTACCAGAAAAAGAGTAAGGAAAACAAAATTCTTAAGAAATCTGGGCAGAAAAAAAATCTTTAAGTAAAATAAAATTTTGAGAACCAAAGGACCTATGATTCTTGATTAAGAAGGCCCATATATTTCCAGCATATGGGTGAAAAGACACTTCAAGACACATTTTTATGAAATTTTAGGTAACTCGAAATAGTTGATTCTAAAAGCTTCCAGAGACTGGGAAAAACATGTTGCTTACAGGAGACAGGGAGCCAGAATGGCACTGAACTCAGGGAGAATCAGAAAACCATGGAGCAATGCCTTCAAGTATTGAGGCAGTTGATTTCCAACAATTGGAGTAAAGTCATTTTCAGACTTTAGACATCTCTAAAAATTTAGTTATCATGTACCCTTTCTCAGGAACCTATTGGAGGATGTGCTAAAAAAAAAAAAAAAGGAAAGCAAAAGGATATTTGCAGGAGGAAATCATGGAATGCAGGAAAGAGGAATGCAAAAGAGGCAAAGGGAACCCACAAGATGCTGGGGAGGGACCTCCCGGGACACAGCTGTGCAGAAGGCCTAGCGAGCAGCCAGCCCAGGCTGGATCAGTGAGGGGCCTCCAGAAAGAAAGAGGGGGAGGTGAGAGCAAGTAAGCATTTAGAAATGCTATTTCGTTTCTATGGAATATTTGAAGATAATTTAGTGACACATATATAAGCAAGTGGAGGGGGAGAGAGTTCTTTACGTCTAAGGAAAATTTTAAGTTACATTTACTATGAGAAAAGAAATGTAATTGTGGTTCACTGTGATTAGTATTTTTGTAATCATGATAATGTAGACCCTGTGCTATTGATTCAGCCAAGAGGAGGAGATGTTACCTTTGGAGAGGGGACGATGAGTCAGGGAGAAATGTGTATGTGGAGGTGGAGCTTGTGGGTAAAAGGTACTTAGTCCTCTACTCCCATATTAGAAAGCAGAGAGTAACTAAATCTTGAAAAATCTATACTTAAGTTGTTTTCAATATGAGGTAAATAGAAGAAACAGCAAAAAGAGTTGAAAGTGTCTACCTCAAGAGCAGAAATCAGGAGTGGAGAGGGATGGAGGAGGAAGCTACTATTTTTATTATTAGTTTAATTGTAATCCTTGACTTTAAAGGTATTACATATATTATTTTGATAAATATAAGCTTTTTATTTTAAAAAAAAACAGGCTACAGTTTTTTTCTATCTTTTAAAATAGGTCTTGGTTCCATTTTTTCTACATTTGTTATATGTAGGATTATAAACACTCTTAGATACACCCAAAAACAACCTCTTGGATGTTTGCACTTTTTATTTTAATAAACATCAGAGAGCCACAAGTGTTCTGGAGCAATGAAAAATGTGACAACGTAACTGTTGCCCTTCAGCCCAAGGAACTTGGAGCTTAAAGGTTAGGTACGTTACGTATATGAATCTTACTGAAATGTCTCTTATCATATTGCTGCCTTGACATAAAACCTTGCCTGGCTCTCTTAGTTTGACATTTAAGACTGTTCCAAATTCCTAACCCTAAATCTTCCACAATGAGATACCATTTTGTACCCACTAGGATGACTGTAATCAAAAAAGATAATGACAGGTGTCAGGAGGATGTGGAAAAATTGGAATCCTCATACACTGCTCTAAATAGGAATGTGAAATGGTTCAGCTGTTTTGGAAAAGTCTGGCAGTTCTTCAAATGATTAAACATAGAGTTACCATATGACCCAGTAATTCTAACTCTTGGTATAATCCCAAGAGAATTGAAAACACATATCCACACTGAAACTTGTACATGAATGTTTGTAGCAGTATTATTCATAATAGCCAAAAAGCAGAAACAACCCATATGTGCATCAACTGTTAAACAGATAAATAAAATGTGGACTATCCATACAAGGTAATATGATTGAGCCATAAAAAGGAATGAAGTACTAATAATACATGCTACAATATGGATGAACCTTGAAAACATGCTAAGTGAAAGAAACCAGTTGTATAATTCCATTTATATGAAATGTCCAGAATAGACAAATCCATAGAGACAGCAAGTAGCTGAGTGGTTGCCTATGGCTGGGGAGATGGAGAAATGGGGAGTAACTGCTAATGGGTACAGGGTTTCTTTTTGGGGTGATGAAAATGTATTCAAATTGACCATGGTGATGGTTGCGCAACTCTGAATGTACTAAAAACCATGGAATTGTATACATTAAATGAGTGAATTGTATGGTTGGAAAAAGATTTTCTGAGATAGTTTTTCACTGTACTTAATAAAGCTGTTACTTAAAAAAACCCTAACTCTAACCTGCTTTTCCAGCCTTATTTCCTGTTCTTCCACTCAGCCTCAACCAACTTTACGTTCTCTTGTCTGTAGTGCAAGCTCCTTCTCCAGTTCTCCAGTTCAAGACCTAACACTACCTATTCTTTCAAATCTAGCTGAACTTCCTCCTCTTTAATAAAATAGAAAAAGTAAATTCTTCCCAGCAGAAAGTAATCTTTGTGTTCAACCTCTACCACATCTCCAGGCACATCACTTTATGTATTGCAGCATAGAGCTGTTGTGGGTTAAGTGGAGGCTAGTCAACATTTGTTAGCCACATATAGTCTGAAATTACCATAGAAAATCCTTCAAATTGCCTGATCAGGACAATTTTCTTAATGTTCAATGTGGCCAGTTTTTTTCCCTTTCAAGATTGGAACAGATCTTTGTTCTGTTCTGAATGCTAGTTGAAGAAACTGACTTACATTTATAGGTGTTTATAAAATAAAAAATACAAACAAAGCCCAGCTAATAATACAAATTTGGATATATTGTGATTGGCTCCAATCCCTTCTCAGCTCCAGTTCTCAACAGAAACAAGCTAAGGATTTTATCTTGCATAGGTGGTGGGTGTGTGAGATTGATGGGTGAGGGAGGGATTGGTTTATGAACTGACTTATCATTTGGGACTCCTTTAATTCAGAGTACATTTTGTGTGCAATAATTGGCCTGTTTCTAATTAAAGAAATCATCTAACAAAAAATTGTTTTTACTTTTTTCCCCATCCTAGCTGGAAGATGCTACTTTTTTTTAACTTCACACAGTAACTCCACTCAGCATTTTAAGCAATTGAATATTTGGACCCCAGTTATTGCACTGTGGTGGGCTTTTACTCTACTGTAACCAGACTCGTGTTCCACATGACTAAGTGTTCACACACTATGAGAAGGCGGCTCAAATCAAGACCTTCTAAGAGAATAGCAGAATCATGTTTGTCTACCTATATACTCTAAGATGTACACATAATAAATAGGAATGGTAGGCAAAAATCCCTGGATCTTTTGAATTTTTTGTTCTTGTTTTCTATCCCTTCCCTGCCAAATAAATAGAGTTGGTTTGTTTAAATGAAATATGTGATAAGAAAGACTAGTTGAAAAATTGATGCTTTATCCATACTATTATAGCTGTTACCAAGGGGAAAAATAAAGCAAAACTGGATCTATAACATGATGCACTTGAGTTTTGTTTTTAAGGACATATACATATGTACATGTACACTTATGCAAATATGTATATATCCTTCAGAACAAAATTGTGTGTGTATTTGTGCATACATAAAATATTTTTGGAGGGATATATCATAATTTGGTAATAGCAGTTGCCTCTGGGGAAAGGAACCAGGAGTTACAGATAGTGGTAGGAGGAAGATTTAGCTGAAATGCTTTCATATTGTTTGACTCTTACTATGTGCATATGTTACCTTTACAATGGAAAACATTTATATCTTCTTACCAATTAGTTGTTAATAATTTATGGTAAATATTTATATTTCAGTTTGAGATGCTCATTTAAAATGAACAGAAAATATATGTATAGTATAAATTTGTGCTATTCGTTGTTCGATTCTCCAGCAGCTAAAATATATGCCGCCAATGATTTACACATTTGTTTTTTACAGAGTTACATCCATTTGGGAAAATAGTCTCCAGATCACTACAATTTCTAGTTTTGTAGGAGCATGGCTTGGAGCATTTCCTATTCCACTGGATTGGGAAAGACCATGGCAGGTTGGTTTCAATTACTGAAAGTAACAAAATAAATGTTTGTACAATGGTAGTAAAACTCATGAAGCAAACTAATATTTATATGTAAATTGTTTTGTTCAATCAAGTAGAGGTACCAATTCTGTCACTGTTAATAGGTGGCTTCTTACTGGGTCCTTTCCCAGTGCCACAGGCATCAAGGTTAGCCTGGTTCTGTCTTTCAGCACTATTTTTTCTACATGTATAGATGAATAGACAACCTTACTTTGTGAATACATACAGGAGTTGTTTTAAAAAATTAGGTTAGAAGTTGCAAACATTTCCTATTTTAAACTTTGATATTCACTGCCCTTGTGGTCTTAGATGCATATTTTCTTAACTTGATTGATGGCCAAATTGAATGTTGATCTTGAAATATTTTAAAAAAGCATATAGCAAAGTAACTTTTGAAATAGTGGTATATGGTATCAGAGGAAGCTCACAAACATCAGATTTTTCATTTCCTATCACAACAGGATAAAGTTAATATACTAGGGAAAGCACTGTGAGGTAAGTGCTCTTTTTATTCCTATTTTACCGATGAGGAAACTCCCTCCTAGAGGATATGTAACATTCCCAAGGTCATTGAGCTAGTAGGTGATGTATATATCTTTATCTTAACTTTTAATGACTGTACTATGCCATTATATAGTTACTCTATACTTTATTTAAGAAATTCACTATTGGTCATTTAGATTTTGCCAATATTTTACTGTAATAAACACTGTTGTGATAAACCTCTTTGAATCTATAGCTTCATGATTTTAAAAAATTGTTTTCTTAGGGTAATTTCTCCTAAATAGAATTATGGTATTAAAAAAATAAATGTGCTTTCTTTTTGCAACATGAGGGAAACTTTTTTCTTATCACAAGGATAATATATATTTATTTAGAAAATTTAAACAATATTAATAAATAAGGAAGTAAAAATTACTTTTTTTCCAAGCACCTAGAGGAAACACGCATTTGTATTTTGGTGATAATTTTTGCAGCGCTTTCTCCGTGTGTATAACTACTCATGTATAACTACATGTTATTTTTAACCCGCTTTTCTCCAAGCACCTAGAGGAAACACGCATTTGTATTTTGGTGATAATTTTTGCAGCGCTTTCTCCATGTGTATAACTACTCATGTATAACTACATGTTATTTTTAACCCGCTTTTCCCCCCTCGGCAGTATGTTATGGAGATTGTTCCATGTCAACGAAAACTTTCATATGTGAATGTCCTTCACAAAGTTCATGGGAAGATTGTATCATCTTCAGTCTAACACACTCTCCCAACTCAGCTATTTTTGTCAGTTTTGTATTATATTTTAATTCTATTTTTTCATGAAAATTTGAAGTCTCCTCTAGGTAATACTCCATTATTTGGGTAAATTAGTATACCAATTTTTTATGAATGGACATTTAGGTTGTTTCCAGTTTCACTATTATTATATTATTATTAATTATGGTATTTTCATCCTTAAACATACATCTTTGCATATTTGTCCAATTTTCTCTTTAGGGCAAATTCCTAGGTAATGAATGGCTGGATTGAGTCTTTCATACATATCTCACTTGCCATATTTGGGATCCAGATTGTGTCTTACACGTAACTGTCTAACTTTATTCCCATTCTTTATGCTTCTGGTTAGATGTTGTGTCTCCCTAACAGTTGAGTTGTTCTTTCACATTTAGTGAGTCTGGTGGGCTTGCTCGTCCCTGTTTTGATTCTTTATCCACTGTATGTTATAAAATCCCTAGAGGTTTGTGGTGTGTAGTGTCACTGATACCCTTCCCAGGTTTTATGCTGATAAAGGTGTCCTTTACATTTCCTTGGCCATCTCATGATCACCCGGAGATGGGGATTCATCTGGACTCAAGTTGACATTTTATGAAAGTCATCTATACTTAATTGAACAGAGTGTCAATGATTTCTAAATTGGTGGACAATCAAAATCATTGACAAGTATACATAGAAAATTGTTTTAAATGCTAGTAAATTCATTACTTTTAGATAATGTAATTACATCTGAATATGAAGTATTTTTTAAAATTAATTATGTATGTATTTATTTTTGGTGGCTGGTGGTAAGGGATCCAAACCCTTGACCTTGGTATTATAACACTGTGCTCTAACCAACTAAGCTAATAGGCCAGCCCCTTAAAGTATTGATAAATAAAGCACCATGGGACATCAGCTTTAATGAGTTGGTAAGATAATGTATATTAACATATCCGTTTGTTTATATCTCAGAGTGTAAAAGTTTGGTATGTTAAGCATAGTTGTATTTTTTGTTTACAAGACTATGCAGAAGTAGAAACTGAATTATGGGGAGTAGGTGTCCTTTTAAAATCTGGGTTTAGGTTTGCTTAGAAAATATATGTTAATTATTTGCAATTCAGTTATCCATATTTGGATTGTTCAGGCTTTTAACTGACTCATTTTTCTACCTCAGTGCTTGCTTACAATAAGGGGTGAGCTGGATCCAAATTGACAGTATCAGACTTTTAAAATTAATACAGTTTCCATTTGAATTATTGACTTTTTAAAAAGACTTTCTAGTTAGCTAGTTTAAATATGTAACAAGTGTTTGTCTTCATTAAGAATGTTTTGTTCAGCCGGAATATTATTGGCCCTTTAATTATCGTTAACTATTGGGTTGTTTTTAGAATATTCCAAGTTAATGATCCATGTATTCAATACAGCCCTTTTAAATTACAATACATACTGTTGGGGGAATGACAGAATTGATGTGTAATTTAAAATCTTTTATACCTGCCCCTTTCCCTTTTAGCAGTTATTTACTCATAAACTAGAGAAATGATGAGGTTTTATTTTTTCTTTCACTTTTTATTCTGGGCAATGTTCTTTGGGTTTTTTGTTGTTACTGGTTTTTTAAAAATAATTATGACTACACAAAACAGAATCTGCCAGAAAAGCAGTAAATAAGGTAAGGAAATATGGCATTTTCTAAAAATGGACATTTTGTTAGAACAAAATTTCATGAGAAGATAGTACTGTACACACTTTAAATATCTAAAATACAACATGTATTTAGAAAATATTTTAGGGGCCGGCCCGGTGGCGCACTGCTACAGTGCGCCGCTTGGGAGCGTGGCGGCGCTCCCGCCGAGGGTTCGGATCCCACATACAGACCAGTTCCCGCTCACTGGCTGAGCGAGGTGCGGACGCAACACTGAGGGTTGCGATCCCGTTTCTGGTCCCGGTCCGGTACGGGCACGACACTGAGGGTTGCGATCCGTTGCCGGTCATGAAAAAAGACAAAAAAAAGGGAAAAAAAAAAAAAAGAAGATATTTTAGTTTTCTGTTCCTTGTAGCCCGATACAAATTTGATGTTTGTGGTAAAGCAAGATTTTCTGGATTGAGATCTGGTTTCATTTATACTATAAAGAGAAACAAGATTATTTGGTTATGCAGTTATACCTTTTTAAAAAACACACATGTGCGCACATACACAAACCCCCACAAAAACTGTTACATGTTTTAATTCAATTTTCTCTACTTTGAACTCAGATCTGACATTGTATAACCTGAGGCAATGCATAAGATTATAGTGATGTGTGTTCTGTGATGAGCAAGTTCAAGCATATTTATACTTTCTCAATTGTTTCGGCAATGCATAAGATTATAGTGATGTGTGTTCTGTGATGAGCAAGTTCAAGCATATTTATACGTTCTCAATTGTTTCTTCATTAGATGATTGGAAAGACCCATTGAAAATATGTAATCTCAACGAAAAAGTTTTTTCACTTAATTGATTTTAAGAAATGACAACTGATGTAAGATACTAGGCATCTTTATAGCTGAAGGAAGCCTTCCGTTTGCAGAAGGGAGCAATGGGATTTGGTTAAGGAGAATATGGTAGAGTAGCTACCCACTACATTGTTGGTCATCTTTGTTGTTGTTGTTGTTGTTTTTTAAATATTTGAAAGTCATCTTCTCTTCTCTGCCTTAATTATTTGACTTAAAATATCAACTTCCCATCCCAGACAGCCTTCTTCACTCCCAGGGAAAGCTTATAGTCACTGACAGAATAAATATTTGGACTGCAGAAAACCTTTGTACATCATAATTTGATTCTTGATCTGCTATAATTGATTTGCTAATCAATAAGTATTTGTTGAGTTGTTACTATGTGCAAAGCATATTTGTATATTTTATGTGAGTGTAACACATACTTTAATATCACCCATGACTGGAATTTATTTAATAACAATAACTTAGATTCAGATTGTGCTTTAGATTCAGATTTAATAAGTTTTAAGTATTTCATAGAATAGCTAGGTGTGAGCTTTTCATCTGGGAAATGTCTTAATTCTCTCTCTTATCAAAACATGGGCTAATATGTCATGTTATAAAAAAAATTAGTGGGAGGTTAAGAAATGTTTTTGGTTATTCTGAGCAAAGGAAATTGACCATGATGTTTTTAAACCTACATGTTTTATTAATAGGTAGGCAGATAACATGATGATTAAGGGCTCTGGCATTAGATTACAGGTTCAGATCCTGGCTTTGCCACTTGCTGGTAAGGATTAAATAATAAAATCCTTTTAAAATACTTAGCTCAGCACCTGACACATAGTTACTGCTTAATTAATGTTATAGGCATTTGTGACCTGTAAAAGGAGTAGTTTAATGGCTATATTTTTAGCATTCCAAAAAAATGCAAATTCCATTATTTATTTGAGTTCTCATGTGTTAGAGCGTATATTAATTGTCTTGGTTTATTGTTTTATTCTTTCTGCCCAGCGGTCCTTCAGTTGGTAGAGTAACTGTTAATTTGTCTTTTTATTCCTCCGGTATTTAGTTATGCCAATTTAGGGTATTTGGAATTCATATAATTTTCAATCCTGTTGGATATTTCAGATGACAGTAGAAAGAAAATGTAACATTTGTAGATCCATGGGGCTTGGCACTGTCACAAAAGTAACTTATTCCTTATTTACAGTAACTATAGTGCAAGGTAGGTTTCATT